TTTAATTATTTTTCTTTTTATTACTTATATTTATTCTTATATGTGGACTCCAACTGGGCCACAGGTTCATGTTGATGACATATCATTGGAGAAATCTCACTTCTAACACAAGTACCACACAAAGCTGAGTTCTTATGTATGATATATCCAAATTGGGCCTGGTCTTTTGGCAATTAGGATGTCCATTTGTGGGAGTAAGCCAATGGAATGAGAGATATACTGTAAGTTTAATTGCACTGTGCTGACATTTTGTTTTCCATTACCAATCACTTGCATCTCCTAAAAAAAAAATGGAACATTTTCCACAAGTTGCCTATTCTTTGACTTCACAGAGGAACTTCAAATGACTCTTTAATCGTATATAAAACTTGTTGAGAACCACTACACTTCCTGTTGTCCATTTTCAAAAGTACTCTGAAACTCATTAGGTTTAAGTAACTACTGAGGATTTCTAGTGTTGATCCTCTGATATAAATTATTAGGATGAAGCCTATTAGGATTAGCACCTACTAGAAGGGTTTGCAGCAGTACACTGACAGGGAACTGCCAGAAATTTAAGGCAATTCAGAAGAGTGCATAGAACAAGAGATATCATTGTTTATGTCAGATGGATCTTGGTTGAAAGCAGGGAATATCAGAAAGATGTTTACCTTTGTTTTATTGACTATGCAAAGCATTTGATTGCTTAGATCTTAACAAATTATGGATAACATTGAAAAAAATAGTAATTCCAGAACACTTAATTGTGCTCATGAGGAACCTGTACATAGACCAAGATGCAGTCCTTCGAACAGCACAAGGAGATATTGCGTGTTTTAAAGTCAGGAAGGGTGTGCATCAGGATTATATTCTTTCACTACTCTTATTCAATCTCTATACTGAGCAAATAATCTGAGAAGCTGCACTACATGAAGAAGAACGGGGAATCAGGATTGGAGGAAGACTCATTAACAACCTTTGAAGTGCAGATGATGCAATCTTGCTTGGTAAAAGTGAAGAGGACTTGAAGCACCTACTGATGAAGATCAAAGACCACAGCCTTCAGTATGAATTGCACCTCAATATAAAGAAAACAAAAATCCTCACAACTGGACAAATAAGCAACATCATGATAAATGGAGAAAAGATTGAAGTTGTCAAGGATGTCTTTTTTCTTGGATCCACAATCAATGCCCATGGAAGCAGCAGTCGAGAAATCAAAAGGTGTATTGCATTGAGCAAATCTGCTGCAAAAGACCTCTTTAAACAAAGATGTCACTTTGAGAACTAATTATACCTGTCCCAAGACACGGTATTTTCAATCACCTCATATGCATGTGAAAGCTTGGCAATGAATAAGAAAGACCATACAAGGATTGATGCCTTTGACTTATGGTGTCGGTGAAGAATATCAAATATACCATAGACTGCCAGAAGAAGGAACAAATCTGTCTTGGAAGTGGTAAAGCCAGAATGCTTTTCAGAAGCAAGGATGGCAAGACTTTGTTCCACATACTTTTGACATGCTATCAGGTGGGTCCAGTCCCTGAAGAAGGACATTATGCTTAGTAAAGTAGAGGCTCAGCAAAAAAGAGGAAGACCATAGAGATGGATTGACACAGTGGCTGCAACAATGGGCTCAAGCATAAACAGGATTGTAAGGGTGACATAGGACCAGGCAGTGTTTCAATTTGTTGTGCAGAAGGTCACCATGAGTTGGAACCAACTTGACAACCTTCATAACAATAACATCAGAGGGGTTTGAATGAGCCTTCATGGAGTAACAGTTATGCATTCGCTGCTAACTGAAAAGTTGTCGGTTTGAACTCACCCAGTGTCTCCATGGGAGAAAGACCTGGTGATCTGTTCCTATAAAGACTATATCCTGAAAAACACTATGAGACAGTTCTACTCTGTCACCAAGGGTCACTATGAGTCAGAATCAACCCAACCGCACACAGCAATAACAGAAAGGTTTGAAATAATGCATTACAGAAGAAAAAAATGTACAGAAACTAATGCTGCCAGTCTCTGGAGAAAGTGATTATCTGCAACTTTCTAGGCCTCATTCAGACTGTAAACTTTGACACCTGGAGACATATGAGATTGTAGTTATGACAAATTTCCGACAGCTTCACAATAGAAAGCTCATCCGAGGAGGCTCTTGGCTGCGGCTGTCCTGCATGCCTCATAACAACAAGTTTATCCAATGGAAGTTTCCAGAATACTCACCCCCACAATTTTCCATACTTTTTAGAACATTTCATGTCAAAATCCCATACACCCTGCAAGGAGAAACAAAATAAAATTAGATTATTCATTTAAATGCACTCAACCCTACCACTCTCTGGGGCAAAAAAAAAAAAAAAAAATTCAAATCAGTTGAAATTAAGCTTACTCTCAATTAGGGATTGAACTGTGTCCCCCAAAAAGATTTGTTGAAATTTGAATCTGGTGTACCAGTGAATGTAAACTTGTGGGAAAATAGGGCCTCAACAATGGGCTCAATCGTATCAAAAATCATGGAGACCATGCAGGAACAGGTAACGATTCATTCTCTTATACATACGGTTTCCATGAGTTACAGCTGAATCTACTGCAACTCATAACAATAAAGATGATATCAGTTAACTTAACATGAGGTCATACCAGAGTAGGGTGAGCTTCAATCCAATATGACTGCTATCCTTACAAGAAGAGAATAAGAGACACAGATACAGAGAGACACAGGTAGACAGAGTGGGAATACGGTCATGTGAAGACTAATTCAGAGATTAGAGTGATGCATCTACAAATCAAGGGATACAAAGAGTTGTCAGGAACCACCAGTAACTAGGAAAAGGCAAGGGTACGTCTTTCCCTACATCCTTAACAGAGAGCACAGCCCGGTCAACAACTTGACTCAGACTTCAGGCCCCAGATCTGTGAGGCAATGAATCTCTGCTGTTTTAGGCCACCAGTTATGTGGTACTTTATGACGGCAGCCCTAGGAAACTACTACACTACGTTTTCACTGGCAGATAAAGGGAAATTCTTATTCAGAGATATCTTAGGGGTAAAGAGGGAAGATAGAGGAGATATTCTAAATGTAGAATTTAAATTAACTCTGAATTTTATCCAAGTATTGTTGACACTGAATGATTTAACTTTGTCTAGGAATAACAAGTAACTCTTCATCTTTCTGAAATGTTTTTGCTTGTGCATATGTTGTCTCTAAAATCTCATAAACCTCTGAATAATTACCTCTATGGGCACACAGGAGAACTGAACTTGGAGAAAATGACTGAATGTCCCATGGGCCAGTTCTACTGTCACATGGGGTCGCTATAAGTTGAAAGTGACTCAACAACACCTATCAATGACAACAACATGCTTTTGTTAAAAAAAGAAAAAAAAACTCATCTAGTGGTTAAATATGTGAAGTTGATAGACAACCACCAATTTGTCTTGGTGATAATCACCCCCTGCTCAGATTCACTCATAGAGGTGACTCCTTTGACGGAAAAGGAGAAAGGAAGGAAGCTCTTGTTCCAGCCCTCAAATTCACAAAAGACGACATGGTTAACAAGAGCTGGGTAAAGCCATGGAAATAACCACAGGTGGTTTATCAGTTCTTCAGAGAATGTACTATCTGCAAATTACTAGATGGTGAATACTTGAACTGCCTAGTAATCTGAAGTTCAAAATCTATCCAGGAGGAAAAACAACAAATATATATATATATATATATTTAAACAATGTATCCAGAAAGGTGAACAAAAAAAAAAAAAAAGACTACACAAAGCTCATGCTAGAAGCATGATAGTTTGAATCTAGCTCACACAGCTTAATGATCCACTACTAAGACTCCCTTTGTTTATTTCTCCTAACTCTAAGGTCCATTATGCATTCTTAGGAAGAAGCACCTGACAGAAAGGTGCTTCTCACGATGTTCACAATGTTAGAACATCAAGTGTCGTGCTGAATTGGCCAGGCTACTAGACAATCTGACTGGGCTAAAAACCTCAACGTTAGACAATAGAGCCCTTGAGGAATCGAGGCCAATGTGCTGGATGGGATATACACTGTGTCTGGAAAGTTCTAGAAACTTTTTCCTGAGGAAGGGTATTTGTGTTGGTGGAATGCAGCAAGCATATGCAACCATAAGAAGCAAAAGAGGAAGGTCCAGCACTCACCTTTCGGTAGGCCAGAATACTTCCCACAAAAGGCAGAGGCTTAGGCCCAGGAATCCTGAGCTTCTTTAGAACATTATGTGAATAAGTTCCATATCTATAAAGCGAGATGCAAGCCAAGTCACCAGAACTGTTGTACAGATGCCAATGTTAGGGAGGTAACGTGTAGGTAATAAATAACAATAACAACTCCAACAGCAATAATCACATCTCATCACCATTTCCTTTCCCACCTTCATTGTGAGGTCCACAAAATGAAATGATGATTAGCGGAAAGCAGTTAAAACCATCTTGATCCCAATCCTAGGGTGAATACTTGAAAAGGTTCCCAAATTTGGGCTCCTAGGAGGTTCAAGGTGGAACTTTTCCAGGGTCTTTGCTTGTGTCTATTTCACAGGTGGACTCTTACAGGATATGGTGGTTCCCATTCCAGTTAGAGGGAGACCAGGTCGCACACTGGTTAAGAGCTCAGGCTGCTAACCAAAAGGTCAGCAGTTTGAATCCACCAGCCGCTCCTTGGAAAATTTATGGGGCTGTTCTACTCTACCCTATAGGGTCGTTATGAGTTGGAATCAACTGGACAGCAAAACGATTCTAGTTAGAGAGGTCCCTGGTGGTGAAAAGTCTTTGTGCTCGGCTGGTCACCAAAAGATTGACTGTTAGAACCCTGCCCAGTGGCACCACTGAAGAAAAGACCTGCTTCCATATGGATTACAGCCAAGAAAACCCTATGAAGCAGTTTTATTCATGGGATTGCCATGTGTCCGAATCAACTTGATGGCAAAAGATAACAATTCTAGGTAGAAAGGAGAAAAAAAATTTTCTGTTTGATGAAAAGTTTTTGTGTAACTGCATCCAATTCATCATAGAGCGTTAAAGAGAGCCTACAGGGATGTCTTTCTTACACTTTGCTCTGGGGGGTTTATTATGCTTTTACTTCACCATCTGCTTTACCCCCTATTTTAGGATCTGGTTCTTCTTAAATATGCCCTCTCAGAGAGGCCTCCGAGCAGCCACAGTTTCTGATGTCTCTATTTATAGCTATGTCTACAGAAAAGCTTTGCCATCCCAGTGTTACGGGAGGTGGCTAGCTAGACGAAGAAGTGAGGCTGAAAAGGAGCTATAGACAACCATTCATAGCTAAGCTGTTTGTCCTACAAGGTCAGCACCAAAGAAGCAATTTAGAAAGTTGTTACTGAAAAGTATAAATAGTTCAAAAGGTCCTACAAATATGTTCTGTTAAAAGAAAGGGACATTATAAAATCCAGGCAACTTCCTGTTGTTATCCAACATAAAATAAGCAGTCATACAATGTGATAGGCAGTAGAAATGAAAGCTTGTTTCCTTTTTGTTGGTCGCTATCATTTAGTTCAGTATAGGTTCCAAATATTTCATACAAATCCAATAAATCTTATAACATGCAATGAAATAAAACCTTAAAAGGGCATGAAGTTCAGCAATAAAAATAAATGAGCTATCAAGCCATGAAAGGCATGGGAGAAGCTGAAAATCATACTAAGTGAAAGGTCTCCTTTGCTCTAAGTATTTCCCATTTGAGTGGGCAATTTTTTTTTAAACCTTCCTCTGCTGGATTCTTGTTAATATGTTTGGGTCCAAATTGATAGTCAATCCCTAGAAATAAAGAATGTCACTAAACTGGCCTTGACACAGAAACTGTGATTTGGGAGGTGGGTTGGGTTTGCTTATGAACGAGTAACTTCAGAGTGTCAGCATAAGATGACTAATAACTTCTTATGGTTTTGTAACAGCCAACACTTAAGCAATTTCCTCTCCTCTATCTCTTTTTATTATTTTCAAAACAGCCAGGGAATAGCGGCTCAATAAGCATGATAACCCTGAGTTCAGTGTCACAGAGGAAGCTAGACGCTACTCACAGGTAGAGGAGCACTAGGCTGGTGACCAGAAAAATCCAGGTCTCGGTGGAAAAGCTTGGGATCAGGTCCATTGTCACTTTCCTTGCTTGAGAGCCTGCTCTGAGTTTTCCTTCGAACTGTGTGTGCTGAGCTCTGCCAGCTCAACACAGTCTCCTTCACACACCCAGTCAGGGAGGATGCTGGAAGATTTATATGCTGGGAAGGGGGTGGGCCCCAAGCAGCATGCGGTTAAAGGGGCACCTGACCTCTGCCTGCAGCCTAGGAGGTTCAAGTTACACTTTGAACTAAGCAGTAGTTCAAAGCATGACACTAGGCAAACCATCCAAGCATACTCACTTTGACCTCCCTGGAGTTCATACTTTGTGGGAAATTGATAATTAAACAACTCAGTGTTATCAGTAAACTAAAGGTTGTTGGTTCTTGTCAGAAACTCCAAGTGAATCTTATGCAATATTAGCTCTCTATATTACCTCGGGTACTTTATTATAATTTGGGTTTAAAAAATGTTGTTAGTTGCTGTCAAGCTGTCTCTAATTCATGGTCTCCTTATGTATAAAAGAACAAAATATTGCCCTGTTCTATGTCATCCTCATAATTGCTGGTATGTTTGAGGCCATTGTTGCAGCCATGGTTTAAAAAATGAAGATTATAACTTTTAAAATTAAAAAAAAGGGAATTCCAAGTGAAGCCACTGGCCTTGAAACTACTATGACCATTTTTGTCAACCATGGCTACTCTCACTCCAAAATTCTTGAAATTTCTCCAAACAAGTGGAGGAAACTCATGCAATGTTCTCTACCTCAAGTATTTTTGTGCCCTTGGAAGGCTTTTAAAGCCAGCTTAGACAAAACCCTCATGGTTAGAGTCCAGTCTCCTCAACCACCTCAAACAGATTTATCCACTTTCTCTTCTGCACAGCTTTCATCCCTTGTACACATTCCTATTGCTGTATTGCTCACCCTCCACCATCTTTATTTGTTTCCATGGTCACATCCTGAGCTACTCAAGGGCACAGTCAGGGTATAAGTCATGCTAATGGCACTAGTATCTGGCAGAGTGCCTTACATGAGTGGACATCCAGAAGGTCAGATGGGTTGAATTGGATGTTGTGGGACCCTAGTGTGTCCTTTCCCTGTGACTCTGCAGTGACCACTCCTTCATCCTGTATTGTTGACATAGCAAGGAGACTTGAGCCAGATGGCCCTGAAAGAGAGATGAGGCCTGGAGGAGATGGAGCTGATGGTGGCGCTTGACAGTATCAATTTGTGTTGCTTCTTGTCCAGCCCCTCAGGGTATCCTGCAATAGATAGTAACTTGGGCAATTTCCTGGACAAAAAATGGCCTCTCAGGAAAGATGGCATCTCCAGGAAGAATGGAAGTCCAGAGAATTCTGATACATTTCTTCCCCCTTTTGGTGGCTTCACTTGGCACTGTTAAATAGGGTCAGCTGGTATTATCCCCAGCTTACAGATGTAGAAACTGAGGCCCACTAACAGCAAGTGGCTTCCCAATGGCTACTGACTTCACCAAAATATTATGTATAAGTTTTATGAGGAGAGATTGGAAAGCCTACTCCTGTTCACTGAGGATAATATTCAATGTTTACAGATTCCTGATAAGGGCTACTATGAAAATACAGAGAACTCATACCTAAACAGCAAATTTGTTAAAATTCTGGCTCCTATCTCCAAGGTTAAGCCTCCAGCAATTTCTCCACAGGTTTTCTAAACACAGGACTTCCTCCCATCTCAGCAGACACACACACACACACACAAATACAAGTTATGACAGATACTAAGGGTATTGTGTGTGATCTCCGTCTTTGTGTTCCCAAGTCTAGTGGTTCTCAGAACACATTCAAACAAGTAGAGATTAGAGTATCATCTGATAATTACTGACAACTTAATTACGTTCCCTCAATTATTTCATATTCTTTTTGGAAACAAAACCCCCGTGGAAACTAAAACGCTTTCTTCTTTCTCCAAAAGACACACTAGCCTAAGACAGTTTTGTAACTAAGCCTCATATGACCAATGACCCTCCCTACTCACCTGGTTCAACTGGTTGTAATCTATACCAACAATAAACTGGCTTCTGCCTGGGACTGAAAAGAGGCCGGCACCAGGCCCTAACAAATGAAAGTAGTCTTACTCTACTAGGACAAATAGTAGAAGGCATGTCTTTCATGTCATTTAATTTTATAGAAGGTAACACCTTACATGAAGAGGTTTCAGTAATAAGAGTTGTGCTGAACATATGAATGAAGATACTATGGGTGGAAAAATATCCAATACACCTATATATCACACTTGTCCATTGGTATATTAATGTACCACCAGGAACTTTTAAAGCCATGCTCTGTGCATGCAAAATGGTACAGTCACTTCAGAAAACAGTCTGGCAGTTTCTTACGAAAGAAAGTCTAGGTTTATAGGTTTACCATATGTCTTAGAGTGAGTTCTCTAAAGAAGCAAAACCAGTAAAGTGTATAAATGTATATATATAGAGAGAGAGATTTATATCAAGGAAATGGCTCATGCAGATGTGGAGGCTCTAACTTCCCAAGTCCATGGGTCAGGAAAGAGGCTTCTCCTGATTCCCATAGCCACAGGGGCTGGTGAACCCAAGATTGGCAGGCTGAGAGCAAGGCTGTTGCTCACATTCTGTAAGAGATAAAAGAATCCCAAGATTGGCAGGCAAGACCACAGGTAAGCTGCCAGCTCAAGTCCCAAGAACCATCAGTCAGAATAACAAGACCCAGGTGCAGGATCTAGAATGAGCAAAATCCCCAGAGCTCTGCCTGAACGTCCACCCACACTGGATGCAGGCCACACACCCAAGGAAACTCCCATTCAACTAATTAGCTACTCACAGCAGATCCCATAATGGGGGTGATCATGTATCAAGTCTCAACAGGGATGTGATCACATTATACAACTGTCAAAACACTGAGAATCATGGCCCAGCCAAGTTGACACACAATCATAACCATCACCATCCACCCCTTGTCAACTTGGCACCTGTACACATCTCCTTGATCCATACATAATCTCTAAATAAAGACAAGTATAAAGTCATACTTGGGCCTAACATGATACAATGAACACACGTAAAACCAAAAATGCCATAGCCCCATCTACATCTTATATTTTATAACTGAAGAAAACAAAAATATTTGATGCACACATAGATAGCAGAAATACTCATAACAACTACAGTCCTCGTTTCAGCAAATGGTTACATGGCCGTAACTGGTATTTAGAACTACGTTCTTCCACCACACATTCCATATTCCCTTTGCCTTCAGCAAGCACCTCAGCTGGTGGTGGTTCTTTGCCTGGAGGGGTGACGCAAACCTTCATTCCTGAAGGGTCTGGGCCATAAGTAGTCATGTCAGAATTGTGTTGCTGTAGTTTTCCATTGACTTTAATCACAGGGCATGGTAGTACTAAGAGATTGCCTAAGGGCTCTCCTGCATTTCAGGCATACTCTTCATTACCTCCATTATGTAATAACAATCCTATTTCCTCTTGGTAATCAGAAAAATCACACCAGCCAGTATGGTAACTCCCTTCTTTGCCTGCTGATCCAGAGGCATAAGGAGCCCAAAATGGCAGGTGGCTTTCTTAGCTTCCAGTTCAACGGAATCAGTGATGTGTCTCCAGGTGGAAGAATTCTTCCCTTTGGAACTAAGACCTCTAGATCTGCAGAGCATAAAGTTGCTGGGACAGGAAGCAAAAATCTTGCGAGTGGGTCACTAGGGGTAATAGTGAGTGATGCCACTCCCTTTTCCACCCCTTGATTCCTAGACCCATGAATGCTGGCTATGGATAAAGAGCACTATATATTTGATGCTGGTTTAGAGTATATACAGCCTCCTGGAGAACATGGCCCCAACTCTACAAGGTATTGCCACCTAGCTGGTGTCATAATTGTGTCTTTCAGAGACCATTCCATCATTCTATCATGCCAGCAGCTTCAAGGTGATGGGGAACATGGTAAGACGAGTGAATTCCATGAGCAAGTGAGTCTTTTGATCAGAGGCAATGCTGTGTGGGATACCATGATGGTGGATAAGGCATTCTGTAAGTCCACGGATGGTAGTTTTGGCAGAAGTATTGCATGCAGGGAAGGCAAATCTATATCCAGAGTAAGTGTCTATTCCAGTAAGAACAAAACAATGCCCTTTCCATGATAGAAGCACTCCAATGTAATCAACTTGCCACCAGGTTGCTGGCTGATCACCTCGAGGGATGGTACCCTACTGGGGACTCAGTGTTGGTCACTACTGTTGGCAGATTGGGCACTCAGCAGTGGCTATAGCCAAGTCAGCCTTGGTGAGTGGAAATCCATGCTTCTGGACCCATGCATAACCTCCATCCCTGCCAGCATGGCCACTTTGTGCATGAGCCCATTGAGCAATGACGGGAGTCGCCAGGGAAAGAGGTTGAGTAGTTTCCACAGAACGCGTCATCCTGTCCACTTGATTGTTAAAATCCTCCTCTGCTGAGGTCACGCTTTGGTGGACATTCACAAGAAACACAAATATCTTCACTTCTTTGGTCCATTCAGAGAGGTCTATCCACACTCCACTTCCCCATAAATCCTTATCTCCAATTTTCCAGTCATGTTCCTTCCAATTCCCTGACCATCCAGCCAAATCATTGGCCATAGCCCACGAATCAGTATGCAGTCGCAAATCTGGCCATTTCTCCTTCCAAGCAAAGTGAACAACCAGGTACACTGCTCGAAGTTCTGCAAATGGGGAGAATTTCCGTTCACAAGTGTCCTTCAGGGAGGTCCCAGAAAGGGGCCGTGGTGCTACCACTGTCCACTTTCGAGTGGTGCCTGCATATCGTGCAGAACCATCTGTAATCCAGGGAGGAGTCTTCTCTTCCTCAGTCAACAGATCGTAAGGAACTCCCCATGAGGTCATAGGTGCAGACTGGGAGATGGTAGGTAATGCGAAAGGAGTGAAGACCATGGGGATTTGGGCTAATTCTTCATGCAACTTGCTTGTGCCTTCAGTTGGCTCTGGCTCGATCTCGTATATACCACTTCCATTTAATGA